GCTGCTGCTGCTGCTGCTGCTGCTGCTGCTGCTGCTGCTGCTGCTGCTGCTGCTGCAGGCGTGTAGCATACTCTGCGTTGCTGCTGGCTACTCCTCGTTTGTTAGAGCCGGTTATGTTCGCCGAAATTCAGTGCCCCGCAGACTGCGTCTCAGCTATCTACACTGTTCTAGCCAGGTCAGCAGCAGCAGCAGCAGCAGCAGCAGCAGCAGCAGCAGCAGAAGCAGTAGCAGCAGCAGCTGCTGCAGCAGAATATGTAGCAATCAATATATAATTTGGTTTAATCTCGCGGCTTTTGTTTCTACTTCTGCTGCTGCTGCTGCCGCTCTCTCTCTGCTGCTGCTGCTCTTCCTCCCGCTGCTGCTGCTGCTGCTGCTGCTGCTGCTGCTGTTGCTGCTGCTGCTGCTGCAGACGACGAGGGAACGTGGCTCGTGACATGCCTAAGCCGGGTACCCCGCTGTATATAGTGCATGCATATCTGCCGGCTATTGAATCCTTTGGGTTTGAAACAGATCTCAGGTACTCTTGCTGCTGCTGCTGCTGCTGCTGCTGCTCCTGCTGCTCCTGCTGCTGCTGCTGCTGCTGCTGCTGCTGCTGATGATGATGGTGGTGCTGGTGGTGCTGGCGGTGGTGGTGGTGGTGGTGGGGGTGGTTTTGTGTTGTTACTGATGACTTTGCTGCTGTTATTGCTGTTGCTGCTGCTGCTGCTGCTGCTGCTGCTGTTGCTGCTGCTGCTGCTGCTGCTGCTACTGCTGCTGCTGGAGTTCGTCTAGCGAATGTCTCGTTTGCTATAATATAAATTAATTTATTTATTTTAATTTATTAAATTAAAATAAATAAATTAATTTATAAAATAAATAAAATAAATATAACAAAATAATTATAATAAGTAAATATAATAAAATAAATAAAATAAATAAAATAAATAAATATAAATATAATAATATAAATATAGTAAATAAAATAAATATAATAAATTAAATATAATAAATAAAATATAATTTAGTAAATAAAATGCATATAATAAATATAATAAATATAATACATAAAACAAATAAAATAAATAAAACAAATAAAATGAATAAAACAAACAAAATAAAACAAAATAAATAAAATAAATAAAATAAATAAAATAAATAAAATAAATAAAATAAATAAAATAGTTTATAAACAAGACAAATACAAGCGACAAGCTAGGCCCTAAATAACAAAATAAATAAACACAAAAACACAAAAAACAAAAAAACAGAAACAAATAAAACAACTAAAACAAATATAAACTAAATAAAATAAACAAAACAAACAAATAAAACAAATAAAACAAATAAAACAAACAAATAAAACAAACAACATAAACAAATAAAACAAATAAAACAAATAAAATTAATTATTTTTATATACAGAACACACAAAAGCAAGAAATGTATTTATAAAACAACCAAAAAAAACACAAAAAACAAAAAAAAAAAAACAAAAAAAAACTAATAAAACAAATATAAACTAAATAAACAAATAAAACAAACTAAATAAACAAATATAAACTAAATAAACAAATAAAACAAACAAATAAAACAAAAATAAACAAAATAAAAACTAAAATATGTTATGTTTATACGCAAAACACACACTCTGCCCTATCCAATAAAAAAACCAAAAAAACGAGAAAAAACACAAAACAAAAAAAAACAAAAAAAACAAAAAAAACAAAAAAAACAAAAACAAATAAAACAAACTAAAACAAACAAATAAAACAAATAAAATATGTTATGTTTATACTCAGAACACACACAAGCGGCCAAGCTATGTGTCTATCTGTCTTCGATAGCTGGAGTGTAGTACCCGGAGACCCCCTAGATAAACAAATTATTTTTAAGCCGCTCGAGCCCGCGCCAGC